AGGGAAGGGAATGGATTTGTTGGGGGGTTTTAACCACTCGCTTGGCTATTAACAAAAGGTATCAAGACTCTGTATTTTTCTTCTTTTATTCTCTTCTAGAGAGCTACTACAGCAACGCTTTATGTATCTAATACTCTGTGCATCTAATACTCTATGCATCCAACAATCATGCGAGAGGTGCCAACGCTTTAAGTAGGGAAACCGTAGACGTGTTTGGGTTAGCTGACCGTGAGAGTTTCCACAGTGTATCCGTTTATTTTGCAAAAAGGGGGAAACCGGTTGGCCCTCACCGAAGTACATGGCGAGCACCGAGGAACCAATTAAACGTTAACAGCTGCGCACAGGAATTGCGCACACAAACCAATTGAACGCTAACAGCTGCGCACAAGAATTGCGCACACAAACAGGAACTTCAGTGTGGGTAGAACTCAAGGTCAGCTTTACCAACGCAAACACGACCACCTGTGAAACTGTCTAATTGTCTAAATGTCTAACACGGTAACAAGGAAATCCGTGAGCTGAGCCGAAAAAAAAACATAAATCTACCAAAATAACACGTAGGCGCAACAGGCAAGGATTAACAAAACAAAAGGCTTAACTAGAAAAGTCTCAAAACAACAACTTTCAATTCACCTCACAACAGACTAACACCCCAACTCATTCAGGATGAATATATCGTCTACCACGGGTAAAGCGTAAGTTTGTTATTCCCTTACATAATACCATGGGTACCTGAGAACAGTGCAACTATCAATTCTGCAATAATTATTGTTCCATTCCAGTTTGTTGCTTACCTAGCTGCTGGTACATGGAGCTGAGGGTGTGAGGTGGTAGGACCTGAATTGGGCCCACATTCTGTGTCACCTGAACAGGGACATCAAGGCCCCTCAGCTGACTTCTTACTAGTTCATCCTCGGCGAGCAGGGACACTGTTATTTTAAAAAGAAGGTAAATTTAAAATTTTGCGCAGAGTACATTTGAGAGTACGCAGAATGATTGAGTCACAATCATCTGTCTCCTTTCAGGATTCCTCCTGCTATTAAATCCTACCTTCTCAACACATTGAATGAAAGGATGTCTCCCAAAAGTAAATTTGTAGGCAAACAAAAACGGAACAAAGAAACAAAAAACAAAACAAAACTACAGTAACACTGATCCACTCAGTTTGCAAACTCTAAAACACACCAAGAGTTGTAGGATGATGCCAGTCAGACCACAGGCAGCAAAGGACCCATATTCGACTTCATTTCTCACCAAATTCACCTTATAATTACAAAGCAACGCGATTTTATTTGTTGATCGCCCTCCACATCTATACAAGTCCCATCTGTTGTAAATGCTGATTCAATAGTTGGCTAACAAACCAGGTCCCCTTGAGCAAAGCGAGTCAGCGAGAGGTGTGCTAGGGACCTGACATACATTTACAACCACAGGGCGAGGAATACAAATCTGAACCGATACTATCGTTATTGTGTGACAAATTGGTTTTATCAACTGAGTTCCTAGGTTGACGTTTCGAGCGTTAGCCCCTCGCCAGACCGAATGGTGGACAGCCGAGGTCAGATTGTACACTGACCTTGCACCACTACATCTGGTCTTTTGTCGGTCGAATGTCTCCGATTAAGAGGGTCAATCTCTCCAACCGCGATAAAGTTCTATTGGCAGAAAAAATTCAAAACATATCACATTCAGGAATAAATAAAACTATTTTAAAAAGACAATTAAATTATATTGAGCAATAAGTACTTTATTCAAGTGCCCCTAAAATCTAGCAGAGAGACGGTGCCAACATGTATGAGTGCTTCTTGTGTATAGACCTGGAAAAACGCAACCACTAATAAATGATGTGCATGCTACGATGTACCAGTGTGATGTATTAATTCCACATAATGAGAAGCTGTTACAAAACTCAGTGGTGCACTCGCCTCAGGGTTACGGGCAGTCTCAAACTGCATTAAGGGATTTTTTTCCCTGCCCTTGCCAAATAGAAAAATGAATGAAAGATCTATTGGTGTGCATTCTCTCACTATGCTGTATATAGATAGCTGTATGAGTACCTCTTTCAGTAGACATGCCAGAACATAGAGCGAGTGGGACCACAAGTGCAGCACATATTCCCCACAATTCCTTTCCACACTGTGGGGATTAGCTTTCTCAATATCAACCTGAAATTGTCACAACATGCACACGCAAATTAATTTAGTACAATTGACATGTTTTTGAAAAGTGTTCCTAAACTTAAGATAACTGTTAACAAAAAAAAAAAAAAAATGTGGCTGCAAGATAGGGAAAAAAAAAACAATTGAAGGCAAATTCTGCCGTTTTGATTGAGATTGTATTTTGAGCTCCAAAGATTAACCGCTATGTAAGATTGATAAAATTGTATTTCAAACATCTGACATGTTAAAACAAAGTGACGAGGTGAACATTCCACGATTAAATGAAGTGTGCAGGAAGGAATTTCAACCCACCATTGAGTTCGAAATCTAGGCGGTCAAAATTTATTTTCAAATAGAATGTAACACAACAACTGCACATCATATAGTGGGTGTGTAGTAGCAACAAAATAATGCAAGAAAAGTATGATTATCGACAGAGTTTAAAGGTTGAATAGAGGAACGTTTCATGCACGAATTGAGTTATCAACTGCAACTACTGAATGTAAGTTAGAGATTTCCTACAAATTTTCTATGCTTGGAAAATTATTGTAATCGGTCCCATGACGACTACGGTGAATACAGAGAAAATACTAAGATCTTAAAAATAACATTTTGATGATTCTGTGGTACATTGTAAATGTAACTACAGATGAAACTCTACACTCTGTTTGACAAACCTTGTCCCTCGGTACATAGAAGAATTCTGGAACTAAAGGAAGACCACCTTCATCTTTCACAAGCAGAGGTTCTAAAAGCTTTGTGTACGTTTTCACCTATTATGCACAAATATATGACTTTGTAAGGCTACTTTTGACCACTAAATTTAATTAGTTGCATCAGATTTATTAAAGGAATATGGTAGACCTTCGCGGGTCTCCTTCGCAAAAAAACAAAGGCAAGCGCGAGGCAGCGCGAAGTAAGAGTCACGTATGAGGGTAATTTTTTCGCGCTCCTCCCCCAAACGTGACTAAAGCTTCGCACTCGCCTAGCGCTTGTATTCGCTCACCCGTTAAATGCATGAAATTACGCCTGCTCTGGAATTCACACTTTTGGCGAGCTAACGAACTTAGTTCGAAAATACGTTTTTGTAAATAATTCGCGTGCGTTTTAATGTTTTACCCATATTTTCTCTTGAAAACTATAATTATAGTTAAAATAATAATGCTCAGACAGTATGAAATGAAAAAGAAAAAAAGATGGCCCTCGAAGGTCTACCGTATCCTGATAAAAATGTGCAAGAGTTTTTGTTTACTCAAACCTCTGCAATCATTAATTTCTCCTACTACTAAAAGAGAATGTTCAGGAACATGGTTATCATTAACATTCTCTCAGTCTCCCAGCTATAACACCAGGCATGTGCATGTAAATGTAAATTATGTGTCTAATTATAGCAAAAGACTTGACTTCTAACAAAAAATTTAGCTGAATACATTTAGATATGAATTCCTCAAATGCTTCACAAAACAATCAAAACAAACAAAAAAAACATTACATCTTGAAAGCAAAGTATAATAATAATGGTAATACATCTAAAATCCACACTGATGTTGAAACTGTTCATTTTGAAGTCTTCAATCAATGATTGAAAACACATGGCTTTAATTGAATGCAGCTAAAAAATATAAGTAATATATGCAGCAAGACAAATGCATGGTGTTCTGTAACATATAAATACAATAGCAGACTGACACAAAAACCCCATTCCGATTGCTTGATTTTCTAATCCAATGACTTGTTTTACAATACATATTCCGTGTTTGAAAAATAATATAAAATTGTACGCATCCTTTCAATTTTCTCAGCAGTTAAAATTCAATTTTACAGCATCAGTTATCATTGGCTCCTTCATCTTAATTTCTCAGAATTTAAAACTCTGAAAAAACTCAGACCATGACATCCCCATGTTTTTGATCACTTACTGTACCTAGAAGAATTAAATAGATAAATTCAACACTACTGTATTTCTCAATCAAATTTCTTATTGGTGTTAAAGTCACTATTTAAAATTCGTACAAATATGTACAACCTCTTTGACAAAAAAGGGTATACAAGAAGATTACTGTTTCTTCACCCTCCATTTAACACACTTTTTGGTAAACAATGAAGAGATTGCTTGAAACAAAAGGCTACATAATTAGGCAGACCATAAGGATTAACAGGGCCACTGATTGACAACAATGGCAAGGGACACAATTTGCATAAAAGACCTTCGAGATGTAGCGTAATTTCACAAGAGAACTGAAAAAAAAAATTCAGTGATTACTACAATGTCATGAAAAGCTCCAGAATTTAAGCATTTGTGAATAACAATATTTCCTCTTGGGGGGCCCAATTGTTTACAGAATAGCTAAACATCAGTGCACTTGTATTTGTTCAACAGAAAAGCAATATCATTGTGGTAAATGCCCTGTCAATTAAATAAATATTTAATTGGATGAAGATAAATGGAAGGTATAGAACAAAGGACTGACAGAACAATTCTTAAATTTTGATGTTTACTTAGAACAGAGCCAACAAAACATCTGGCATTCATGGTAATCTCGTTACCCTGTAACATGCTGTAAATGCCACAAACATTTCAAGATCTTTGGTTTGAATCCTGTGTATGATACTCATAGACGTTTTAGACTTTCAAAAACACAAGACATTAACTGAATCTTCTATGTTCTGCCCCCCAGAGCAAACATCACTACCACATAGCATTGCAGCTAAGGAACAGATATTTGATTTGATCACTGAAACCATGCCATGAAAAAACAAGAGGACAAAATGGTTCAAGTCTCCCTTCCAGAAAACAACCATAGCAAAGTTCATACTTCTAGAACTATTCCTGTGAGTCCCACAGCACCGGAACACTTTTCCACAGAACAAATCAACAAACTGGAGAGCAAGTTTTTACATCAAAAGTGGCCCGATAAAACAAGAGTTGTTGTATTGGCGATGGAAAGCAACCTGCTGACCAGAGATGTAGAGGTACAAACTAACAAAAATTTTTTCCAAGAATCAATTTTCTCTTAATACAAATTATTTTTTCAAAGAGCACATTTTCACGTGTGCATTTACCTAGATCTGCTCTCCTGGACACAATATTGTCATTCTGCTAAACAAAATCTTACAAAAGTGACAGAATGTCAATGAGTTTCACAAAGGTCTACAGTATTAGAAAACTCTACTTATAAATGTACAATGTTTATCTACAACAATATATTATTTTATTTTTTACCAATGAAAATGAAACACTTTTCTTTTGAATACAAAAAACTGCATGCTTTAAAGTTAAAAGAAAACACAGTCAAATAACAAAATAGTGTAAGTGTGTTAAGAATTTTGTGGTTCTTAATTATCAAAAGTGTCAGACTCAAACCTGTAAATATACATATACTTTTAATCAAGACATAAAATACTATGAAATCAATGTATTATCACACCAAAAACCTTATTTTAGTCATGAGAATTGTCTTAAAACTGTTTGGCTACTTGTAAACAGTGATAGCAATAGAATGATACATACTGTACATTGTCTGAACTGTCTTTCTAACATTCTGATGCAGAAAACCTTTGTTTCTTTTTTCTGTTTCAATCATGACAGCTCTGGTTCCAAGCAAGAAGAGAAAAGTGGATGCAAGGAGTAATTGCTGCCATTGCTTTGGCTAAAGAGTCTTTATCAGAGCATCCATGACAATTAAAAAAAAAATTTTCTGAAACAATCTATGCACTAATATTTATGCCTCATAAAAGTTTAAAAAGGCAAATTTAATGATTGGACCAAATGAGAGAATGATCCTTGGGATTCACAAAAGAACAAGCAAAGAATAAATCTGATGTCCCAAATCAATACATTTTGTGGTGAGACAGCATTCTTTTGAGAGCAGCACAAATGCAATCAGAGTGGTTGCTTCTAGCAGGCTTTACATTAAACATTCATTGGAGCAAGGTTTTTATAGAGAAATGTACTGTAGCAGGATATGTTGAGAAAGCAGAGAATACTCTTGACACCTGAACAAAAACAGCTCAAGCCCATTGCCTCCCATTGCCTTCCTCAGAAGAATTTCGACTAGTTGCAAGATAATTCACCAGACTCCGTTGCGAACATCCTCCTGATTGGAGTAGTTGGTAGTATACATCAAATACTTAAATTGTAATTTACAATATCATTGCCTTTTCCAGTCTGAGTTCTACTGATCAAGCTTTATGCCATGAAATATATAAATATTTCATAATTCTCAATTATTTATTATAAGTAATATTTCCACGAACATGACCTGCGAATGTGTTTAGAGCAGCAAGTCATTGATCTCAACAATCATAAACATTTTATTATGTCAGAAAGTAAACCTCACTAAAATAGATGTACAAAACATTTGCATGTACACTATAGTCTTTCAACTGAATTGGACACAGATTACAGATGGACAAACAAATCAAAGACTTATTTGGGCTAATGCCTTTAATACTTTGTACCAATAAGAAATAAACAAAATATAAAATTCTGTGAAAAATGTTATCTGGTTTTAAAATACCTTCGGGTGTTATTTTTTAGTACATAATATATGAAACTGTGTATTAAACAATGAAAATAATATAAACATGAAAAAAAAAAGGAAAATTTACTGTAATAACAGAAGAACTAAAAATTTAAATTAAGAAACAATGAACACTTCTTGTGAACACAGTTGTTCAAACTAACCTGCTCCTCATCATCATGAAACACACCATCAAGAAGGAGGTAACAGAAGAACAATGGCCATTCACATTCAATGTTCTCAAAGATCTCCAGTTCAGCTGGTTCATAATGAAGCCTGAATGGATCCTAATGAAAAATTACATTATGAGTAAAAAAATAGGTTGACTTCACCCTCTGCAAACACTGTGACAATAAAGTAAGAATAATGGTTCATGTATTCATTCTTTACTCCCAGACATCAGTATGCATATTCTCCCTACTGTTTGCTATAAACTCCCAAAAGTGCTCGTAGGGAGAATTTAAGGCAAGCTTCAATCTTTAGTTGAAGACTATTAAATATTTTCCTTTCTCTTGTGACCTTGATGTTTGAGTCAGTTGAGATGTTGTGAGGAGAAATTAGATGTTAGTCCCTCCTAGAGGTCAAAGGGTAAACCCTTTTACTCCCAGATGTGATTAACATGTAACTTCTCCCAACATCATCCAGCAAACAGGTAATGAGAATACTCAAACTTATCAGGTGTAGGTTTTTATCTTGATCTAGTGACAAATTCTGGTAACTAACTTACAAGGAAATCTGTGGCAGCTAGAGGGGAGAATTTACAATCAGATCTTGGGATTGTAGTTAAAGGGTTTATTATGGTGTAGAAAGCAGAACCAGGGATGCAAGAAAAGTAACTGCTATAAGTTAGTAACGATATAGAACATACACACAGATGTGTCTTTACACTAAATACTAACCTCAAGTGGAGTTTTATAACCATCTCGGATGAAACGAGTAAGACCATATCGACCCTATCAAAGATTGCAAGAAGGATTTAACATCAACTACTATAAAAAGGTATAATAAACAGAGTATCCTATAATAGGTTGAGAGCAAATACTGTGATATCCTTCATAAGCAGAACAACTTTAATATTGACGCATAAGAATACTATTTGCAAGGATTAAAGACTTGAACATTGTTTAACTATACCATGCATAATAAACTAAATCATGTACAGGATCTAGTATTGAAAAAAATAATTATATATATAAACAGACCTGAAGTTTAGAAATGATTTTTTCCTTAGAGTCTCTGACTAGATCCTCATCTTCAACGGCAAAAGCTGGGAAACTAATTACACTCAAAACAGAAGCAGCAATTTCCTGTAAACAATAAATGTTTTTGAAACAATCACATTATACTGAGAACATTATGAATGGTTAACTGTAGAGAGAAAACAGAGTATGCTACATGTATGTATGTAGAGTACTACACTCAACCTCAGAAAATAAAATGTTGAAAAACTGTACATGGTCTTGATCAAAATTATTCACTATTAAAATTCGTAAATGTTTTGTAAACTTTATCAAGTGACAAAAAGATACATGTATATGCATGTATGCTGCAAATAATTATGTCAGCACAGCATGTTTCATTGTAACCTGTTACATATACTTTGCTTCATCTGTGGGCCATTGAAATAAAACAGTTTATTTCATATCTACACTACTGTCAAAACCAGATCTAGCCCTCTAGCCCAGTATGGCCAGTAGTTCTCTGTTAGAAAACTTCTATAATTTGTAGATGTGAAGCTAATAGAATGCCACTGCCCAGTACTAGTACGCACATGTACAGTAAAGGAACCTGACAAATTCTAGAGTTTATTAGATTGTAAGTTCTGAACTACTGCTATTAGTAATCAAAGTAAATAATAATAAATAAATAATAAATAATCAATAGTAAATATTACTATCAAAGCAAAGTCCATTACAGTGCCATACTATATACATGTAGATGCAATCAATAACTATAAATAAAATTTAATGTAACCTTACAGTAAAATTATACGGTTTTAGTTTCTCCATTGTATAAGCAATAACACACTCAGGGTTCAATACTAACGGTAGACAACTAGCCACAGACTAGTAGAAATCCAGTTTTGACTAATGATTTTCAATTTCCACTAGCTAGTTTGGTTAGTAAACAAACTGAAATTGTCAAGACATCTAAATTGTCACTAGCCACTTGGCTAGTAAGTTGAAAAGTTAGGGTCAAGCCTAGTGACATTACCTTGGAATTGGATTCTCTTGGTACCATTGACTGTAAAATAGCCTAGGAATGTAACAATGCAAAACAGTTTAAGATAAAATAATATATGTCCTGTACATGTAACAGTGCATATTTTGTCAAAAGCCTTCTCTCAACACTTTATACCCCATTAATTTTCATAAAGTGCAAGGTGCTAATCAAGTTAAATCTGGGACAATTTACTGACATTACTGCATGTTTAAGAAAATTTCTTGAATTTGAATCTGCTTAAAGAATGCACAAAATGTAGTTTTATATTCAGTTTCTGTCCAAGTTACCTAAAAAATGTATCGAATTTCAATGTGAACCCAATATGTTGAGAAAACAAGTGCCACTCTAACAAAGGAATTAGCCAATTATGGAAAGTAATTAAATGATATAAAATTTTTGGTGTGACCCTCAAAAAAACTAATTTTGTCAAACATCTTTAGTTAATAAATGAGCATATCAGGGCAGATGTTTTAATCACTATTAATACTAACCTTGCACTGCTGGATATCATCAGGAAGAATATGGATAACAGAGGCATGTGAACCCTCAGGGCCAAATAAATCCAAACCATCTAAAGCTTCTAAAGCAGCCTTTGGAAAGAGGAATTTTAAGCGCATGTACATGACTATTACACCATTCAAATAGGTTATGTATATCAAAACTCTCCCCTAAGCATATTTTTGAGTGAATCAGGTATGGATACCCAGAAGAATTAACGAGGATCAACCCGAATATTTTGGTGAGATCACAACTTCTTAATATTGTAGCGGCAAAATGTTCAGACACAGTACAATGTGATCATGAATCCAGGTGAGAGCAGTCCTTGGAAGAAAGTTTAATCTTGACTGCAGAGACATTTTTCTGACCGCTCATTAATTTTTTCAGCCAAATTTCATTTATGTACATGTGTCTTAATCATTAGGCTTGTCGCTAGGCGGCGGCTGCCAGCAAAATTTGCTGGGTGAAAAAGTGGCCATCGCTTGGTAAAGTTCAACAGGCACTTCCGGGGTTACACATTTACAATCATTCACCACCTTTGAGCGTCCTCGCTTGAAATAATATCCACACATTATCCAGCAAGCAGGTCATGAGAATGCTTAAACTGATCATGTAGAAGTTGTCCTCATGATATAACAACAAATTCTTGTAAGTAATTTTCAAGGAAATGTGTAGCAGCAAAAGGGGAGAATTAATAATCAGATCTTGGGAGTTAAAATGGTCAAACAAGGAAAAGTGCGTTTAAAATGTAGATTGATATACAATCTAGTTTGCATGACTTGGGTATATTATGTATCAATCAAGCATGTTATATATGTATATGGCAATTGTCAAAGTAAATGTGAAATTAAGAAACCTTTGCCATTCCAATGGAACTTGTATTTAGCTCTGGCATGCCATGGTTCAGTTTGTCACCTCTTTCCCAGATACCATAGTCCTGAAAATAAAATAAGGCACACACCATAGGTAACATTTCATGCACTAAAGCACATGTTAAAAATTAAAAATTAAAAATTGCATTTAATTATTACTTATTTTGATTAAAATAATAATAAAAATCAGTATTTTTTAATTTATTTCATGATCATTCAACTTATGCATAATTTTTACATTTATTTAATTTAATATAAATCATTATACTTTAATTTTATGAAAACTGAGAAGGAATAAGCATAAAAAAACAAGCAAGACCAGAAAAAACAAACAAACAAACAAACAACCAAACAATCTTCCATTACATTCACTAAGTGTCATTTCCTGTCCAACTGAAAGCAAATAAGCCAACATAGCATTTTACATTTGAACATACTGTAAATATCTATAACAATAAGCAAACTTGTATTTATAAGATTTACTTACTGGGATGCAAAATGCTTTTTCAATGTAGAAAACCAGATTTTGAATGAAGGCAACTTCATCAAGAGTGAAAATAATCTGTATTCCTAGAGAAATAAAGAAAATAGTGAAATAGACTAAAGCAAATATCATATGATAAAATAATCAATTCATAAAGATAAAGAAAACTGACAGCAGTTTTTGACCATGATCCAAATCATGATCTAATTATAAAAAAAATGACACTCATCAGAACTATCATAGTGTAAACTGTAACCATTACAGAGTTAATGATCATATATAGATTTAGCCAAGCCTAACAGCAGAGCTCCCAAGTTCACAATATTAATGCTAACATAAAACATGCGCATTTGCCAAGACTCGCCTGAGTCACCCCTCTCTTCGTTTTGATAGTCTCCCCTACCCTGCCCGTGCAATCTGAAGGCACATATGTACGTATGTTAGGTCATTTACGTGACAACCAAAAGAAAAGAGGTTGACCATATTCCATGGGTATGGGGCTCTGCCCCATGCGCGCTTTGCGTGCGTGGGGGCCCCATTATTAAACAAACAGACAAGTAAATACAGCTATAATTGTAACAAATTATAATTATTTGATGGTGTATTGTACTTAAATAAGATGCATATGTACCTGAAGCAGTCATTTCAGCCAACATGAGCAGGTAGAGAGAAGTGGCATCAATCTGAAGATGTCCCCAGGCGTGGTCCCCAACACATGGACTACAAGTCTCTGTTTCCATAATAACACAATATTACCATTCAATTTTAAACAAAGAATGTTAAAGCGATTTCTAGTTCCCCTAGGCTGTTCTTACTCACTTAAGTTGTATTTTGCATGTAGAGCATCCTCCTTAGCTTGAGATTTCTTAAATTTTTCAACCTTTTCAACCTGTAAATAAATCAAGGAAACTTACTATTGAACATACACTTTGAAAAATCAACCCTCATGGTATGACTCCATTTCTAGGAAATGGGAGGTGTACATTGTTTAATACACTAAGTATACATACATTTGGTGGTACATGTATACTGTATGTACCTGTCTCATCATACAGAGCAGCAAACCTCTCATGCACTTTACAACAGCCTACAAACAATGAGGAAAAAAGACAGGCATCAGAGGGAACAATTGTACAGAGGTCTGGGGTTGGGATCTAACTGATAGGGGAAGTGAGCTCAAATCTCTCTAAGTTCCACTCTCTTAACAAAACAATTACAGTTGTAACATATTGGGTGTTATTTCAGATTGTAGCATTGTCAACATGATCACAAATTGTATTTACAACATGCATTACAACTCGACTTGAAAGCCATAATGACAACAGTAACAGCACTGTGATCCTTATGAAAGTAAAAAACGTACACATAGCAGGATACAGGGATACAGTTCATACACTGTATAATTAACAATTATTCCATGAGCACGCGTTGGATATGAGATGATAGATAGCCAACAAGGCACGTAGCGCCGAGTTGGCTATAATCATCTCATATCCAACAAGAGCGAGTGGAATAATTGTTTTATTAAAAACGTTAAATTAAATTATTATAAATTTTTAGCTGCCTTTTAATTTTAAGCTGACACGTACGCTTGCCATATTTGTAGATTATGGTATATTGGCTGATATACCATAATGGCTAAGCCAATAAAAAGTCTTGAATTGCATTATCCAATGATCTAGTTTTTAATAATTATGTATATATGTGTACATTTTCAGCTCAGTGCCAGTTGTCTATCGGCAACAAAGAACAAATCGAACACGTAAAAAAAAGAATTTCAGTGGATTGAAATATCATCTTAAGTTACGAAATGTAACATTTCACAACAAGCATTCACACTAGTGTTTCAATGAGTCCGATACCTGTGTGAGTTCGTGTGCCCTTGCTCTATCCTCATCCATGTCAGCATTCTTGCTGTAAGCAAGTGACAGACCCCAGACAGCCAAGATACTGTAAACATTGTCCCGCACCCAAGCATCCTTACAGTCACAAGATCTTTGTTTATAAGCATTCCAGTTAATTTTGGGAGGCAACAAACCAGTTACTGGATCCTGGGATCATATGCATGAGAGAAGCATTCAGTTCAATTATAACAGTGACAAGGAACAGCTGTTTTATGGCCTTGCAGAATACGCAGCAATCTTTTTATATGAATTACCTCTTCAAAACAACAAATATACAAATTAGCCGATAAACCTTATCTCCTACAAATTCCTGACGTAGCAATTACCTCCGGTAGAAAGGTAGAAAGGATAGTCGACAGCAATTTCGAATCAAAACATACCTGGAAATCTAAAATCGTTCGGTTTACGAGACGATGATACCAGTCGAGACGAACAATAGAGTTACTTCTGGCCCTCATGACTTCTAATCTAATGAGTTGTACATTTGCAAGGTCCCTTCTATAAACAAAATAAAAATTAAAACAAACTCAACCATTTTCCAAAGTTTCCGCCATATTTGATACGTTGACGTCAAGCGTGACCGAAAATTTGGATAAAAGCCTGGGTTTGAGTTGTGACGTCAAATTCCCGCGTAATTTGACGCATACAATCGTATCGATGGAAACTCACGGTAAAAAAAAAAAGTCAGCTTGCTTACAGTTTGAAGCGCTTTGATGGGTTCCGTAGAGGTTTGCTGCGAAGTTTTATAAAGTGCTCATTTTTTCGGAATCACTGAGGCAAACACCATCTTTAGAACTCTTTGAACATAGCTGATAAGTGCTGAAAGAAACTGGAGGAAATCTGGGTCGATATTCATCAGCCTGTCGGAAACCCAAGATGGCGGTACATTTACATCAGCTGAATCAAATACAGGATTCCCTTATTCAGGTAGGCTTTCCTCGAGGGTAACCTTGGAAGGTGAGATTTATTTAATTTCTCTTTCCCCTAGGTTCTGAGAACATTTGGAGTGGCGTTTTTTTTCCTTTAAAACTATTAACTTGATGAACACTTAAGGTAGAAAAGGTCAAAACAAACTTGCGTGCATTTCATTTTATATATCGTCAGGAGTTGTCGAAACTGGAGAGCTTTGGAGAATCTACTAGGCAGGTAAGATGATTCCAGTCGCTGCACCAGCAGTCCATTTTTTCGCTTTTTGTGAAAGGGTTATGGAAGAGGAGTCATTCTATGTTCTGTCTGGGAACTGGAGAAAGTAACATGAAGGTTTTGCCGTTCGACAACTTGTATTGTAACTTTTAGAGACTTTTAGGCTTCTTCAAGATGCAAATCACCGCGCACTTTAAATTCTGCTGATAGGCATCAAAATCGCGGTTAAAGCATTCCAATCCAAATTGCAGGTGTTGATTTTGTTCTGGCCAAAGGTACTAGAGACAGTATTGATTGATCGTGTTCATTATATGCCTGGCAAAATGGCCCGGGTTCTAAAAAATCCAATTATTTTGTTTGTTTATATTTTTCATTATTTAAAACAGCTCATGAACATAATTATATAGCTCTTACACATGTACAACAAGTTTTTTGATTCCACAGGACTGCTATTGCCTTCATAAAGTCTACTTTGAGAGTTTGATTGACCAGCACTCTACATACGGGGATCTGCTTTCCAGGATAAAGGTAACTGCATGGCACAAATGATTGAAATATTAAGTGAAGCACCTTTTCAACAGATCCATTAAAAGTAATTAACAGATAAAGAATTTCACTGTGATGAGTATATGGAACAATGCAAGAAGGATATGACACATCAGATTACAGCTGGGACTGCAAACAAGTTTTGTTCACTGAAAAATGAGAAAGTTGGAGACTTCTAAAGGGAAAAAGGCAATTTACCAGAAGTAATTCCATCATTAAAAAGAGAAAGAGAACATAGTAAAACACACATTCATGTATTCTTCTTACCAAAATTGTAAATTGGCTGCATATTAGTCCCTTAAAGAAAGAAAAATTGAACTTCCACCCAAAGGTTACTTGTAATTGGTTGAGCTTTGAACCATGGCTGGATCGAGTTATTCAGTAGGATATTTTTTAAGAGAGCTGCCTGAATATCTTAACCCTTGTGGGCAGTTTAGTTAAATTACATATATGAGTACAGTGTAACAATGGCTTGTTGTCTTTTGGGTGGATTTTATCAAGAGCTCTGAGACACAAGGTGTGCAAAGTTTCTGTGATGAGGCATTTGGAATCATGTTTACGACCCCTGATTTCCAGAGTCTCTTTCCTCATGCTCCCTTTCTTGCTTCAGGGTAGCAGTGATAGGAGAAACCCTGGAATTGCAAAATAATCTCGCTGGGTCCTCTGTTTCCAGAATTTTAATCTTCAGAGTTATATTTGGTTAATCATATAACAGTTTGAAATCAAGTCAGTGAAGCTCTGAGTTGTTAGTACTGAAAGTGAAAATGAAAGGGTTTTTTGTTCTATGAGGATTCTTGGAAG